ACAGGTTGCCCAGAGAGGTGGTGGATGCCCCATCCCTGGAAACATTCAAGGTCAGGTTGGACGGGGCTGTGAGCAACCTGATCGAGTTGAAGATGTCCCTGCCCACGGCAGGGGGGTTGGACTAGATGACCATTAGAGGTCCCTTCCAACCCAAACTATTCTATGATTCTATGATTCTATGATTTTTGGCATCACAACAGCCCCAGAGTGAGTCAGACTCCTATTGCAGTTGTCAGGAGGGTTTGCAAGATGCACATTGCTGAGGTCCTCCATACCAGCCTAGAGTCCCTGACAGTGACAGCCTGCACGGATCCTGTACCCCTCGGCACAGCCAAGCCTGGCAGTCTTGCCAGACTGTCCCAGGCTGTGGACTATGCTCAGCTGTCAAGGGAGCCTGGCACCACGTGCCCTTTGAGCCAACCCTGCTGATTGAAAGGGTTCAAAGGCTGGGTGTTGTACGCTGAATCTGCAGAAGCGGCGTGCACAGGTCTCCCGCCCCTACAGGAGTTGGCCTGGGTTTTTTTGCATGGGTTCAGCCCTTCACTAATGCTTCTGCATGGTGTGTCTGGATGGATGCCCATGCCCAAGTCCATGGAGACTGGGAATGGGAGAGGCAGGGGGAAGCGGTGCAGCACGTTTGGGCACCAGCCTGCAGTGCCCTGCAGAAGCCTGGCTCCACTGCATTAGGAGGGGGCACTGGTCAGTACTAGGGAGGCAATGGGGTCCTCACTCCATGCCCTGCATCCCGTCCTTGTACCGTGCACTCTCCTTCCAGCAGCTGTCAGCACCTGAAGCAAATGGCACCTTTTGTCTCGGTGCCCTTGCCAGGAGCATCCTCAAGAAAACCGGCAGCATGGACAATGCCTGCCTGTTGCAAGAAATGCTGCAGCAGAGCTCCCTGCCAGCACCGGGGTCGAGCTGCCGCACTCATCCAGCGCCCTGTGGAGAATGAATGAGCCCCTGGCTTCTCAGGGGATGCATTTGCACAACCATAGCAACAAGCTGCCTGCAAGCAGTGCTGCCGAGCGGCGGTTGCTGGGATCTCCAGCCAAAGGGCTGTGCAAATGTCTGGCAGCAGCTGCCTGTGTGTTTTCGGGAGCCCTTTTCTGGCAGCAGAAGCACAAGCCTGTCTCAGAGAGAAAGGAGCAGCCAGCGGCCAAGTCCTGCCCACAGAAGGTCTGATCCCTGTGCCTGAGGGTTATAACTGAGTGCAGCACGGGGTGTTTGGCAGCTCATGGGATGAAATTAAGGGTATCCCTTAGCATTAGCATTAAGCTTTCGCAGTTGTTAAGCTGGGAGCTTCTGGGTGGAAAGCTCCAGGCTTAAAGAAACTTTGTAAAATGAATCAAACCAGATGGAATCATTCCACAAGGTTTGGTCATCACCTTTCTAATGCCTTCCTTATAGCATTTCTTAACTGCTTTTGGTTTCAAATTGTATCACAAAAAAACCCAAAATCAAAGTAAAACTGTTCAGGGGAAAGACAGTAATCTCTGGAAGGCCAGCCATGGAGGAGGTGTGGGTTTGGGTCTCATCCTCATTTGGAGCAAGCTGCATTTCCCTGCAGGAGGCAGAGCCTGCATTTCGAGTAGCTCCACGTTACCCTCCGACTGCGGAAGATTCCTCCCTCCTGACCATTTTCTGGCTTTCTGCTGGCTCCAGAAGTCATTTCCATCACTGAAAAGTCAAGTGCCTGCTTGCTCCTGATACCAAGAAGGGAAAAACCTAAAGTACAAGTTGTTTTGCTGGAAAACACTGTTAAAGCTCCGTAAGCCCCAGCTGCATCCATGCTGGGAATGGGGATGTGTTGTTGTATCCCTTGTTAACATTGCGGCCACATCTCTACTACGTCACATCCCATCCAGGCACCATGGACGGAGATCCAGGCACAGGGGCAGAGAGGGAGCTACAGAGCACACCAAAATGTCCCAGTCTGGCCATTCGGACCAGGGTCCAAACCATTTTGGACCAGCCTGGGTCCAAGGCTGCATGGCTTTTGCCAGATCTCCCTTCCCCTGCACTATTTAACAGCACCCATGCCTCCTCCTGCAAGGTGGTCTCCGGTGCGCAGGGGAAGGTTGATCACACCTGGGATCTCTTCTGCGCTAGAAGAGCCCCAGGGTTTATAACGCAAGGACAGGATGGCACCAAGTGCCCTGCACTCTGCCATGCCGTAACCATGCTTTGTGGCAGCTCAGCTGGCCATGCCATCACTGCCACACCAGGCTTTCCCCTCCATCTGGAGAAGGGTGTCCTCTGGCTTGTCCCAGAGCGACCCAAGGGGCCACACTGCTTACACCTCTCCAAAGCAACTCGGCAGAGCCCGTTTGCTGACCCAGCGGGTGAACCGCATTGCCGGGTCATGTCCATGTTGCTAATTCTCTTCTCTTCCAATAAAGGGCAGCCCCACCCATCCTGGCTACCAGCAATGGTCCCTGGCCTCTGTCATTGCCTGAACCGTGCCAACACGTAGTTTGGAAAAGTGTTACTTAGCATGGGCCAAACCTATGCCAAGAAGCATGCAAACAGCTACGCTGTCTGAACCAGTACAGCCCAGTGCTCCAGCCCACCAGATACTGGTGCAGAGGTGGCCATTCAGCCCCAGGTCTGTAGCAGAGTTTGGATGGAGCCATCTCGGAAACTTAATGAGGCTCTGAAGCATAGCCTATGCTTTCTTTGCAGGTACTGTTTTGGAGATGCTTGTGTGCCAGAACCCTTATATACACAAAGATCTGCTGCCTCTGTGTACTGGGACTAGTCAACAACTGTCCTGTCACAGTAAAGCAGAAGCTTCACACAGATCCCATCTGAGATTAAGAATTGGCATGACAATGGGAAACTCTAGGAGTCACCTTCCAGCTTGGCTCCTGATGGGCTGTAAATCGCCCCAGTTTACACTCTGATAACCTGCCTCTGGGTCTCCCATCCCCTCATTGCCCAGTGCGTCCTCTCCAAAACTGCCTGTCTCTCATTTCCATCAGCACCTGGTGCCCTCCACACAGTAGTGAGTTTGTCTGGGTCGCAGTTTGCTAATGTGTCTCTTCCCCAGCCTGCTTGGGTTTTCCCGGAAAAATGCCCTTTTTGGGGCGTGCAGGGGCATCCGTATAAAGTGAAGTGGCTGTTCCCAGGGTTGCAAAGCAGAGTCACCCATGCTCTTCCCATCCCACCATCCCTCAGGCATGGGAATGCCATTTCTCACGACTAACGCTGAGCAGGGCAACACCTTAGACCAGGAGAACACTAAACCTAAAGAGCAGGAGAAGCTGAAACCCCACACGGAAACCCACGTGCTGCTGGGAAAGACCTGTAGATGTTCCCAAGCACAGACACGCAGCCATGCACTTCCCTAGTGCCACCGTGCTCAGATCAGGAGGCGAGAAGAAACCAAAAAAACAAAAAAAAAAAAAAAAGGAAAAAAAAGAACTGGTTTAGTGAGACAGAACCTCGCACACTGCTCTTCATACAGCGAGATGATCGGAGACATGCGAGTGCAACGTCTGCTGCTAATCACTTGTCCTAACATGGCCTGGGATTCACTGCAGGCTCCCAGAAGATGCCTTTAATGCCACTTTCCTTTGGTCCCAGACCTCCCCAGGTCTTCCTTGGGGTTGGGGAGAGAAGGGGTTGGGGCAAAAGCTGCTCTGGCTTCTCAGAGAAGGAAAAGGAGATGTCTCTTACCTAGACTTAGGAAGCTGAAGACCCATTGAACCACCGATGCCGTCTGAAGCCTCCTCTGCAGTGGCACAGAAAGTGGAGCAAACTCGATCTTCATCTTGGGCTCTGCACGCGTGTCTTGAAAGGAGAAGGAAGCTCCGCAAGTAGGAAATGCAAAGTGCAAAGTCAATATTTACTCAGTCTTACAATATAAGGGATTGTGCAACGTACAGTGCAGTGTAATGCCCGCAGCCACCCTCCCGTAAGGGGAGGAGAGGGATGCTGCCAGGAGGTGTCACGGACTTTATGCCAACTTGACCCAGCGCATGGTTAGATGGTGAGGATTTCATGCTTTTACCACCCAAATCTGGGAAGTAAACTCCCTTCAGGACCCAGTCCTGCCTTCAAGTGCCTGTCTCTTTCAAATTTTGCAATATTTGGATGTTCGCAGAGAGGATGAGGCATTTGTGTGTGTGAGCCAGGCTTTATTTTCCCCATTCCCCTTACAAACCACCCTGTGCATGGCAGGAAGGGACAAGCAGAAGGGACAAGCACGGGCAGGTCACTTGTATTTGCAAGTGATATGGTGTGGATGGGTTCCAGCCTCAGCCAAGGAGGTGGGCAAACAACGCAAGGGTGTTTCACTGCTGAGCACGGGGGTACACGAGCAACCTCATGCCTCTGCCAGGAGATGGATGGATGGATGGATGGATGGATGGATGGATGGATGGATGGATGGATGGATGGGGCAAACAAGTGTCCATGTGCATCCTTGCACACATTTATGTGGGTGTATGAGGAAGGAAATACTACCTCCTTTTTGCATTTCTACCTCCAAGCAAGTGAACGGTCCGAACCTCTGCCTAGTCACATGCAAAGAGCTGCAATTTACTGGAGGGGAAAAAAATCAGAAATCTGGGGAAAAAAATCCTCGGGGAACTGACAAGCCGCTCAGGTAAACAAAGAAATCATCTCAGGGGGGGCCTGAGAAAACCAAAGGTCTCGTTGTAACCAGGATACAGAATAATACCAATAACAGACTGAATTAAACAGTGAGTTGATCCACTGCTAAAGCACCGGCGCGCATACAAAGGCGTCGCTTGCTTGTCTAAGGGGCATTTCAAATCCCCAAGCTCACCGTGGCCAAGAATTACAGAACAAAACTAAAAACGACCCTTGGCAAAAGCAAATCAGAGGTTAGCTGAAAAATAATCCCTCTTCTTTGTCAGGCCCTAGGAAGACGGTGGGCTATGAGGAATTTACATCTGTTAGACTCCATTTCCCAGCGTCACTAGAAACAACACAGCTCTGGTGAAACCCCAACTTGCATCTCCCCCCACCCTTTGTCTTCTGCTGCAAATGTCGGGACCCTGTCTGCTTTGGGAAGCAAAGGAAGCTTTTAACTCTTTCGGCTCTGTTGCCTGGAGACAAGATGTTTCCTGGTGAGAAACCACCAGCAATTTCCAAAATGCTGTGCGGAGACCTGCAGGTCCAGGGCTCCCGGTCTTTCTGGGCTGTGCAACCCCCAGCACAGTCAGGGAGCTGCATGGTGGGACCAAGGAGGGGAAAGTCCTTGCAGGGACATCCCTGGTCCAGAGATGATGTTTCAAGGTGTTTTCCATCCTGCAGTCTTGTCCTTGTTGGAGCCCAGCCATGCCAGGGAGCTCTTTCAGTTTTTGTTAGTGCAAAGGGTCACACCTGAGCCCTGGGGACACCCAGACACATGGGAAACACTTTCTGCTCCCAGAAATTTCAGGCTAAGCCCTGGAGCAGTTGCCCAAGCAGTAGTATTGCAAAGAGTCCCAGATCTTTGCTTGTGGCTTATTATGACAAGGAAAGCCGCATGTTCTGGATTTATTATGAACGAGTCGGCTCCTTGGAAGAGCTGACCGAGGAGTGAAGCAAGGCTCAGCTGAGTAATAAATAGTTATGTCCTGCTCTGCTGTGGATATGTCATTTGCTTTTTGTCTTTCTACTTCCTTAAATCAGGAGAGAAAAATACCTACTCATGGAGGGCTTTGAAATCTTCTGCTTAAATTAGAGAGGGATCAGCGATTTCTAGGCAGTCAGGAGGAGCCGAGAGAGATGCATCTCCTTACCGTGTGGAGATAAAATAAAATCTGTGGCTTGTTTTAGGGAAGAGCAGAGCTGTGTCTCTGAAGTACTGAAGTAGCTAAGCAGTAGGTGACAAGCCCAAACGCTGAGCCCTGATTTCTAAAGCCTACGTCCTGATCAGCTCAGCCTTATGCACGTAGCGGTCTTGGGTACCAACAGATGATTGAATCAAGAGGTAAAACTGAGTGCTGCCAGATATCCTGAAACCATTCCGGCTCTACAGACCCCATCCCGCCCCAAGCTGCTCCCTCCACACCCCTGGAAAGCGTTCAGGGCCCCTATATCCCCCTCAGCCTCCTCTGATGCTTTGGAAATGATGAAGAAAGCAACCATGGTCAACATATTTCTTGTCCTCGAGAACTTTGTGGGCCTCCCAGGCTTGGGACAGGGCTTGTTTTCACCCACGCCTTACGGTATGGCCAGGGCAGTGATTCCTCCCCCTCTCTGGGCACTGGATCCAATTTGGGCTCCTCAGTATCAGACAGAACATGACAGACGGGAGTGAGCCCAGTGGGGCCACTAAGCTGGTCGGGGCTGTGCAAGGAGAGGCTGAGAGCTGGGTGTGTGCAGTGGGAGTGATGGTAAAGAGGGTTTATACAGCTGTCTGCAGCTCCTGGCTGGGATGGTGGAGGGAAGACAGAGATGGGCTCTCCTCGGAGGTGTCAAGTGATGGGACAACAGATGACAGCCCAAGCTAGGACAAAAAGGAAATTCTTACAAGATACAAGGAAGCATGTTTTTCCCTGTGAGGGTGGTCAAACCCTGGAACAGGAGCCTGAGGGCAGGGGGGAATCTCCATCCTTGGAGACAGTCAAACCTCACCTGGACGTGACCATGAGCAACATGATCTTGTTGGCCTTGCTTTGACCAGGGGGTTGGAGCAGAGACCCCAGAGACCCCTTCCATCCAAACTCACTCTATGATCTCACCTGGCTTTCAGCATCTAAATGTTGGATGCTGCAGTCCAAGTTACGCAGCCCAGGATCCCTGCAGAGTCACAGCAGGGAACACAAACCTTCACAGTGAATTTATCTGGCGTATTTTAGCTGTCTAACTCAGAAAGAGGCAAATTGCTCTCTGCAAGTGTTGGGATCTCTCCAAGGAAGACTTTAATCTAGCAGAAGGGGTTGAGGAGCAGGAATTTGAAAGGCCTATTTTGGCCCAGCTTAGCACCTCAGACTACACCCAAGCCTCAGACAGACACTCATTTCTTTGCAGAAAGGTCTCACCTTGCTCTTTGCCAGTCACATTGTCCCGTTTTCCTCCTTTCTTCTTGCTCTCTCTTCCTGCCACTGTCTACATTCTGGCAGGGGAACTGCAGATGTGGATGATTGTCAAAACATGGTGCATCCATCAGCCCTGGCACTGCTTTGCGGGTAGGTCTTGGTCTCATCGTGGTCAACCCCATCCTTACTAAAGGGTCTTGCTACTGTTGGAACATCCTTCACAACTCTTAATAGCCATGGGATTGTCTTTGAGGACTGGAAGGAAATATAATCAAAACCAAAACCCAACCTTGTGATGGAGCGAGGCTGGTATAAAACCCATCAGGTCAAAACAGGAAGAAGGACTTTAGCTTTAGAGTGACTTCACACGGGTCTGGGCTGGAAATGGAGAGGCGAAGAGTCATCCTGCTCTGTCTGTGGGGCACCACCACACCTCGCAGTGTCCTTCTTCTAGAAAGGAGCCATGCTATGGGTATAACCTTACATCACGTCTGTCCTTGTAGTATCACAATCCCCACCTTCCCTGCTCTGGGGGAAGCGATTATATGGGATGGGAAGGATTTCTACTGGGAAATGAGAAGATACAGATTTATTCCCTGGCTTTCTGTGTAACTTCCAGCAAGTCATTCAACCTCTCCTTGTCTGGACATGGGTGATGATTTGCTATTTGAGAGCAATCATAATGATGGAGAAAACTTCACTGGCCCTTAGATGAACCTCTCCATGGCAGGACCTACCCACTAAAAGGCCCACCTAATTTCTCCTGCAGCTGCATGTTTCTCTGGTCACTTTTACATTTTCCTTCCCTTCTTCTCTTTGCTGACTTGGGTTTCAGTTGTGGGAAGGCCAGGGTGGATGCTCTCCTTGGGAGCATCAGAGAGAGATCATCACTGAGCTGTGACTGCAGTCATAGCAGCGATCTCTGGGAGCACCCAGCCCTGATCACTAGTAATCCCTAAAAGTCCCACGTTAGCACCTCCTGGGACATTTTGCTGCTGTTTAATTTACCCTTATTGCCTAATTCTCACCTCCATGGCTTTTAAACCTCACTTTTCCCCATTTTTTGTAAGTTTCTCACCGTTTCTCCTTATTTCCTAACATACTCAGGCACTCGCACACATGTGGCCCACGATATACCTCCAACTACATTCTCCTTGGCTTTTTCCTTCTCAGGTATTCATAGTCATTTGTCTGATCTCCTGTGGCTTGCATTTAGTCCGGGAACATTAAGTTCCTTCAATCCCTCAATAGCTCATCCTCTGTAATCCCTTTACCAGCAGCCCTTGTGACTCAGTTGATCAATGGCCATCTCTGAGGATGAGGAGGAACCCATAAAGCCCTGGCTCACCAAGCTGCAGGCTTTGCAAGTCACCAAGCTTTGCAAGTGGTGACGCGCCCACGAGACTTCACGGGCGGAGCTGGTTGCACATGGAGACCTGGCCGCGCTCCAGGATCAGGGCTGAGAAAGCCCAAGACGGAGGACCTGAAGGGATGCATGCAAGGGGCAACGCAGTGGCACGTAGGGGAAGCCAGGACACTGTGCAGCTGTCCTGCTTTGCCCTGCCAGGAGAAGCTGGTCATGGTTCCTTGTTGAGTCCTTTGTTGAAGCCCCACCTCACATAGACCCTATGGGACTTAGTGTCCCAGCGGATGAGCTAGAAGCTCTCTCCAGATCACTGCTCCTCTCTCCTAATCACAGATAACTCTCTTTTTTTCTCTAAAGCCTCTCAGTCATTCATATGTACTCCTAGAGCTTCCCACCAACCCAACTTCCCCT